TACTTAATTTTAAGTTAAAGTAACTTAATTAAATTAACTAAGTAAAGTAACTAATACTAGACTAGGTAACGTAAATAAGTACATAGAACAACAACTATATATATATATATATATATATATATATATATATATATATAATGTGTTTGTGTGTATGTTAGAAATATGAATAGAAGACATTGATATCCTCCAAAGGAAGTGGGATTTTTTAAGGTTAATAATTCATATACTTTGGTGAGGTAACAAGTAAAATAGTGTTAAAAAGGTAATTTGGTGTGATATAATTTATTAGATAGTGGAATATATCATTACCAGAAGAAAGTGTTGTAGTAATTGATGGAGAAACAAGGTCAGTTACAAACTAAGGAATAGGATAAGTAGAGTAGAGAAGCAGTGTTAACTTCATATAAAATTAGGTATAAATATGATAGAAGTTGTTATAACACAAAGCTAAACAATGGGATAGTCAGAACTCTGGCCATCATAGGGAGTCAAAACTAGGACTTTAGCATTGTAAGTCTGTAAACTTACCACTGACTAAGGTTTAGGATAAATAAAGCCATAGTAAAACCAAATAAAGGTTTAGGATAAGTATGGTGAGGACGTGTATCGGCTACAAATTAAGGTTTAGGATAAGTATGGTGAGGACGTGTATCGGCTACAAATTAAGGTTTAGGATAAGTATGGTGAGGACGTGTATCGGCTACAAATTAAGGTTTAGGATAAGTATGTTGAGGACGTGTATCGACTACAGATTAAGGTTTAGATTAAGTATGGTGAGGACGTGTATCGGCTACAAATTAAGGTTCGGGATAAGTATGGTGAGGATGTGTATCGGCTTCAAATTAAGGTTCGGGATAAGTATGGTGAGGACGTGTATCAGCTACAAATTAAGGTTCAGGATAAGTATGGTGAGGATTTGTATCAGCTACAGATTAAGGTTTAGGATAAGTATGGTGAGGATGTGTATGTACTACAAATTAACAATTAGAATAAATTTATTGAGTTATGGAAACAACAAATTTACATTTGGAACAGATATGGTGAAGAAGGTATGTTAGCAACAAGTTAAGATTGGCGATAAATAGATAAATTTATATATATTTAGGCTGTTTTATGTGTTTAAAGTAGACTTATTAAAAATTTGTATCTACATGAATGTTTTAGTACTTGGAACATTTATTACCAATTTTTGTATTATCATTATATATATTAA